AGCTGGATGGGGAGTGGAATAGCCAAGATACAAATCGGCACCCATATGGGATCCTGGCACATGTAAGGCAAGGACTTTAGCTGCTAGGCCACTGAGCCAGGCCCACCAGATATTTTAATATCATTTTAGGCTGCAGCTATTTCTCACCTGAACTTGTTTGTGTCCCAGGGACAAGCCAGAGCTCACACTTCAGGATGATCCACAGTGTGCAGCAGTGGCCTTTGCTAAGGGCAGGATTCCACTCTGCACTACCCTCCTGAGGCAGCAGGAGAAACAGCTAATTGGCTCTTATTCAAGTTGTGTCTTTTGGGCACACAGACTGTGATTTTTTCATCCCACACAGCAACGAACTGAATTCCAGACAGGCTTGGAGAATGATCCCAGAGCAGCTTGTGAGGATGACTAAACCAGGCATGAAGAAGCCAGAACTTCAATTCCTGATAAGGATTTGGCCATCTTCCTTGCCTTGGGACCTGGGCCCTGGCGGTCGTGCAGTGCCTAGGGTTTGCTCCAGCTAAAGCAAGCATAGAGCTAGAGAGGGGGGAACGGCCCGCCTCTCTCTGGCCCAGAGCCAGATTAGCCCATTTCATCCTCCCAGTGAACGTGTCCCTGATCCACAGATAAAGGCAACAGTTTCAAAGAGGTAAAGCAGCCTTGGCAATTTTATACTCTGCTAGCCAGAAGCAGGGCCAGCTTTTCCTCAGCGTTGGGAGCTCAGGGGTTTCCCTGACACTGTGACACTGAACATCTGTAGACCTGGGCTTGAGGAAGATTCCGCCAGCAAACTAAATGTAACAGCAATCAAAAGACCCAAGGATTCTGGCCCACTCTCTTCTCTCCCCTTCTCCCGTCCTTAACTGCCTCACACAGACACACAAATGGAAGCAGTTTGGATACCTCCTGACTCTGGCTGCACCTTCTCTTTTAGGGCCATTCAGTTGGCCCTTGTCTGAAGTTGCATCACCCTGTTATGTTAGAGTACTGCGAACTTTGAGAATTTGAACCCAGCCCTCAGGAGGAGCCAGCAGATGGTGGGTGATCTCCCTAATTTCTCAATGGCCCTCTGATGCAATCATCAAAGTTCGCAAATTCATCTCCCACTCATTTAACCCCCAATATAGCCTAATCCACAATAGCAAAAACATTTTTAAAGTATTTGTTTATTTAGTTGAAAAGATTATGGAGAGGAAGAAAGGAGAGAAAAGAGGGATAAAGAGAGAAAAAGAGGTTTTCTATTTTCTGGCATATTCTCAAATGGCTGCAACTGCCAGAGCTGGACCAAGCTAAAACCAGGAGCCATGAGATTTTTACAGATTTCTCACTTGGGTGCAGGGGCCCAAGCCTTTAGGCCATCTTCTGGGTTGTTTTTTTTTTTTTTTTTTCCAGTCTGTTAGCAAAGAGCTGGACTGGGAGTGAAGCAGCCAGAACTTGAACCAGCACCCATTTAGGATGCCAACATCACAGGCAACAACTTTACCTGCTGTGCCACAATGCTGCCTCCCCTCCCAAATGTTTACATAACTTTCTCTTTTGCCAATGAACTTGAACATTGTGGATAGTAAATTACATTTTTCTTAAGATTTATTTATTTTTCTTGGAAAGACTTCCAGAGAGGAGAGACAAAGATCTTCTGTCCACTGGTTCACTCCTCAAGTGGCCGTAACAGCCAGAGCTGAGTTGATCTGAAACCTGGAGTTAGGAGCTTCTTCCGGGTCTCCCACACGGGTACAGGATCCCAAGGCTTTGGGTTGTCCTGTACTGTCTTCCCAGGTTACAAGCAGGAGCTGGATGGAAAGTGGAGCAGCTGGGATACAAACCAGTATCCACATGGGATCTTGGTGCATACAAGGCAAGGATTTAGCCATTAGGGTATTGCACAGGGCTCATAAAACTACATTTAAGAAGCTAGGACGTAGGGACCAGTACTGTGGCATAGCAGATTAAGTTATTCTATTTGGGATGGTGGAAAGAGTCTCTCTCTCATTCTGCCTTTCAAATAAACAAAAATAAATTTAAAAATATAACCTGGGTCCCATTCTCAGAACAATGTCTTATATTATTTTTAAATTAGCAATTTCTCTGCCACTGGAGAGACTCCAATTTTATTACATTCCATTTGAAAGTACATGGAGACTATGACCGTGGGATTGAGGAGCAAGGACTATTGGAAGGCCTTGAGTCCATGTGTGGTGGTATGATGTAATAAGTATAAATTTGGTCTACGTGCTGGTTCGTGGCACAGAGCCTGAAACCCGTGTCATTTCCTGACTGATGGGGGACCTCTATTGTGCTGGTATCTGCTCTTTGTCCCCAGTTCCTGCCGGAGCTCCTAACACCCTTAGGATTCCCTGGATGGTTTCAGGATGTGGCTAGTCCCTGGAAAAACCTGAGCTGTGTTGATGTTTTCAGGGAGGCCAAAAGGGCTGGAGATTCAGTTAATCCCCAAGGGTGGGGGATGGGATTCCTCCTGTTATCCAATGAAACCTTCACCAAACCCCTCAAATGATAAGCTTCCAGACTGGTGAATGGGTCCACATGTCAGGAAGGTGATACATCCACAAGACGGAAGAGCCAACCCTGAGAACCCTCTTGTCCCTTTCACCTGGGGCCATCCATATCCATCATAAAAAAGCAGTTAGTAAGGAAAGAGTCTTCCTGAGGTCTGTGAGCCATTCAAATCAGTAATCAAATCAGAAGAAAGGGATGTGGAAGTCCCTGATGGAGAGCTGGTTGGTCAGAAGCATGGACCACAACTCAGGACTTGCAACTGGCAATCAAAGCGACTGCAGACTTACCATTCTGTGGAGTCTGCTGCTAACTCGAGGCAGTGATTGCGGGTATTGGACTAAACTGGAGCTCGGGTTGTAGCACAGGGGTTAAACTGCCACTTGTGAGGCCTGCATCCCATATCAGAGTGACAGCTCAAATCTCAGCTGCTCTGCTTCCTGCTAAAGCACCTTAGAAGGAAGCAGAAAATACCTGAAGTATTTGGGTCCCTGACACCCACAGAAGAGACCCAGATGGAGTTTTTGGCTCCTGATTTAGCCTTATCCACCCTACCATTGCAACCAGCAGAAACTGTGGGGTCCTGAAGTACTTAGCCTAACAGTTAAACTACAAGTTAAGTTGCCCACACCATAGTGCTTGGGTTTAATTCCTGACTCTGACTCCCAATTCCAGCCTCTTGTTAATATAGACACTAGGAAGCAGTGGGTGATGAACCCAGTGGTGGAAATCCTTGCTACCCTCATGGGAGACCTGGATTGAGTTCCTGCCTCCTGGCTCAGCACCAGTTGTTGCAAATGTTTGGGGAGTGGACTTGTGGATGTGATATCACTCTCTCTCAAACAAGTGAAAACTAAACTTGTTGGGCCCAGTGCAACAGCCTAGTGACTAAATTCTCACCTTGCAAGAGCCAGGATCCCATACAGGCACTGATTCGTGTACTGGCTGCTCCATTCCCCACCCAGCTCCCTGCTGTGGCCTGGGAAAACAGTGGAGAAATGTCCAAAGCCTTGGGACCCTGCACTGCATAGGAGACCCGTAATAAACTCCTGACTCCTGGCTTCGGATCAGCTCAGCTCCGGCCATTGCAGCCACTTGGGTAGTGAATTAGAGGATGGAAGATTTTTCTTCTCTATGTATAACTGACTTTCCAATAAAAATAAATAGATCTTTAAAAATAAATATAATTTAAAAGTTAAAAACTAAAATTGTAGAACCCCACTTGGTGCCTTTTGGGGAATGGCTGCCAGCAACAGGAAGATCCCGGCTCCCTTGTGTCTGTGGAGAGAAACACACCATTTTAGGATTACAACCACCATCAAAGAGCTGCCCCTGCCAACGTTTCAGCTTCTTCTCTTGGAAAAAAATATGTGATTTCAACCCAATCTCTACAGGGGAATAGAAACCTAACACAAATAATAAGGAATGAACGCGGCACATCGCTCACGAGTTCCGGATTCGGGAGGAACCTGCAGATGTGGCCGTGCAGACAGGCCAGATACTCTGGGAAGTCAAGAACAGATACTTAAAGAGCCAACAACTGGTTGAGGAATGGTGCCCAGGGGAACCAATGACTGGAATTAAACCCAGCTAGAAGGGGCTCTCTGTGAGACCTTCACTGGGGAGTCTGGAATTAGGACCATGAACAGTTATCAAACCAAAAGACCACAGCCTGGAAAGCACCTCGTTAGGTCCGGAGAGTTGGCACGGTGCAGTGGAAAAAGGCAAGAATGTGAACGCCGGAATTTGCATCTCTTTTCCAGACTTCCCACATGACTTGGGTCTTCTGTTGCATCCTTAGGAATGCTTGGCAAACAATGCCAACAACAAAAAAATAACACATGGAGCTCAGCCTGATGGTTCAATGACTACATAGTCATTCACCTTGCAAGTGCCAGGATCCCATATGGGAACTGGATTGTGTCCTAGCTTCTCCATTTCCCTTTTAGCTCCCTGCTTATGGCCTGGAATAACAGTAGAGGATGTTCCAAAGTCTTGGGACCCTGCACCCACGTGAGAAACCTGAAAGAAACTCCTGGCTCCTGGTTTCAGATCAGCTCAGCTCCAACTATTGCAGCCATTAGGAGAGTAAACCAGTGAAAGTAAGATCTTTCTGTCTCCCTTTCTCTCCACAAATCTGATCTGCCTTTCCAACTTAAAAAAAAAAATGAGAGTGGGTGTTTGGCCTACTGGTTAAGTTACATGTCCAACCTCAGGGTGTTTGGATTGAATACCTGTCTCTAGCTCCGGACTCCAGCTGCCTGCTGATGCGGTCCTTGGGAGCAATGGCGGTGGCTCCCTGCCACCCACAGGGTACACCTGGATCGAGTGCCTGCTCCCAGCTTTGGCCCTGCTCTGGCTCTGGCTGTGCAGACATTTGAGGAGTGAATCAGCTGATGAGAGTTCTCTTTTCCTCTCTGTTTTTGTTTTTTTCTTTTGACTCTACAGAATGCTTAATATTTTTCAAAGGGAGAAGTATGAGGAAGACGGGGTAGTATTACAATGCTTCTCACACAGCCCACAGGATTCACTGGAGTTGTTAGAAGCAGGTGTAGCCATGGAATCAGCAAGTGAGCCAAGGATTAAGCCACGAGTTATGGGAAATGAGGTGGTTCTGTAAGAGATATGTGTGAACAATTTGTAAAGCAATATTACACTTGATCTTAGCCAAAAGGCCAAGAAGCGATTATAAAGCAATACTTCCTTCACTGTTTTGAAACTGGACGAGTAAAGCTGCTGAACACACAATTTGATTTTTTTTTATGCCAATGTAAAACCGGATTCCTGGAACACACTTCCTTAAGTCTTTCTTATTTTCCTCCAAAACTTACCTTTGGTGATTAAAGAAAAACAACAAAACAATATACAAACAAACAAACAAAAACTCCTCTCATGTATCTACTTGATGCTGGGGGGCACTGTTGAAGCATCAACCACTTAAATCCTCTATCATCTTGACTTTAAAAACACGTAGTGCTGGATTTTCCAAGCCGTGTTTCTGTAGAAGAACTTTGGTGGAAAACAATAAATTGAGGGAAGGCCAAATTTGGGGTGTGAAAACATTGCCAAGGAGCTGAGATCCAACGAGCAAGTCACGGGAAGGAGATGAGCGCGGTTAACATATAACCCAGCAGTGCGAGCAATCCACACTTTTCCTTTGGCAATCCTAACTTTCTGTGGCCATTATAACCCACTGGAAGTTGTATAGAGTTGAGGAAGTCTGCAAAGCTTGGCTCTCAAAGGAACTGCTTCAATGTATTCTGTTGTTTCAATAACATCTTAGATTTGGATTCATTTAACATAAAAGAGATAAGAAGAGAGGTCGGTAGGAGGGAGAAATCTAGAAACACATTACCTATCCAAATTTTCTTTTTGTAGCAAATGGCTCTTAGAGAAGAGTTCACTCTCTTATCTTAATCGCACAGCTTCCTATTCCTTCTTCAGACTTGACCTTCCTGTCAACTTGAATTGGAATCTCTCCAGCATGGAAACTAAAAGGACAGCCCCTCCCATTTCCTTTCTTCTTGCCTGCCCTACTCCACTTAGCTGACACGTTTCTGCTTTTTGTGACAACCTTTTTAGTATCAGATTCTCAAATATTTCAGGCAGTGAGTCTGGGGAGTGACAAAACACTGAAAAAGCCGAACTCCAAGGTGACAGCACTTTGAGAAATTCTTGTTCCCACCTCTCAGGCGACATCCACTCAGCTTGTGGAGTATGTCTCTTCAGACAGTTACCTCCGTGTTTCCAAGAAATGCGTACATCCTGTCTCCACTGGTCATCTAGATGCTTGTGTCAGCTTGCCATAGTGTGTGGTGGTGCTACAGAAGACTGTGTGGCTACTCCTGCAAAGAGTCCCACAGGACAGCGAGCCATGCCAGTGATCACTAACACCTGTGTTACTGATGGCTTCGCTCTCCACAGCATCCATCTCCTCCCGATGACAGGAGGTTAAACTGCCGACTGCGGTTCCGGCTGCTCTGCTTTTGATCCAGCTACCTGCTCATTTACCTGGAAAGATCAGAAGATGGTTCAGATGCCAGGGCTCTTGGCACACAGGTGAGAGAACCAGATGGAGCGCCTGACTCCTGACTCTGGGCTGGTCCAGACTAGGCTGTTGTAGCCATTTGGGGACTGAAATAGAGGGTGGAAGATACATCTTTTTGTGGGGAAAAAAGTGTATTGTAAAGTAGCATGCTTGGTTAGGATGCCACTTGGGATGCCCACACCTGACATCTGAATCCCTGGGTTGAAGTTCTGCACTGCTTCACACTTAGTTTCATGCCAGTGTGTGCCCTGGGGGGCAGCAGATGATGGCTCCAGTCCTTGGAATCCTGCCTGCCCACATGGGAGACCTGGAATGAGTTCCAGGTCAGCATGATTCTAGTTTTGGCCCACTTTTCTATCTTTCAACTCAATAAACCTTTAAACACGCTGCTGTTTGATGCCTGCATCAACCTCATACATCCCACGTAGGATGTCAAGAGGCCATGTGTAATGCTGGCCGTGTCTCTGTGCTCCACAATGCTCACACCACCATACAGTTCTCCAACGAGGTGTTTATCAGAGCATATCCCTGCCATCCAGCAACATGTCAGGAAACCTCCGTACTCCCTTTTCTCAGGTGGGCACTTTTTAAAAAGATTTATTTATTTTTATTGGGAAAGCAGATCATATTTACAGAAAGAAGGAGAGACTGAAAGAAAAACCTTCCATCCACTGATTCACAAATCCGGAGCTAAGCTAATCAAAAAACTGCAACCAGAAGCTTCTTTCAGTTCTCCCACACAGGGTCCCAAGCCTTTAGGCCATCCTCCATTGCTTTCCCAGGCAACAACAGAGAGCAGGATGGAAAGCAGAGCAACCAGAACATGAACCAGTGCCTATATGGGATCCTGGCACTGGCAAGGTAAGGATTTAGCCATTGAGCCATCATACCAGGCTCAACATCCTTTTTTTTTTAAGACAGTTTATTATTTGCAAAACAGAGTGAGAGAGAAAGAGAATCTTCCATTTACTTCCATTTCCCAAATGACTGCAATAATCAAGGACTGGGCCAGACTGAATGAAGCCAGGAGCCTGCAGCTGGATCCGAGTCTCACACATAGATGGGTAATTCTCCACTTTTTCCCAGGTGCATTATCATGTACCTGGATCAGCAGTAAGACGGCAGAGGCTCAAGTAGCGCTGTCATATAGACAGAATCAGTTTCATAGATGGTAGCTTAACCTACTGCACCCTGATGCCCACCCCTGGGCATTTTAAAAAATATTTATTTATTTATCACATTAATTCACTTATTTTTGCTGGAAAGGCAGAGTTACAGAGAGGAGAGAGAGACAGATCTATCCACTGGCTCACTACCTAAATGGCCACAATGTCCAGAGCAGGGTTGATCCAAAGCCAAGGGCTTCTTCCTGGTTTCCCACATGGCTGTAAGGGCTCAAACCCTTGGGCCATCTTCTGATGCTTTCCCCAGGCCATGAGCAGGGAGCTGGATCAGAAGCAAAGCAGCCAGGACTTGAATCTACATCCATATGGGATGTGACACTGCAGGCAGAGGCTTAGTCGGCTATGCCTTGGCTCCAGCCTCTGTTTATTTGAAAGGCAAGTTACAGAGAGGGAGAGGCAAAGAGAGACACTGAGACAGAAGTCTTTCATCTGCTGGTTCACTATCCAAATGGCCCCCATCTAGCTTTCAGATACATAAATAAACAATGCAAGTAATCTCTTTTTCAAAAGGAATTGCTGGATAAATGAAGGTTACTAAAATTGTATTCCCCAGGGCCACCAGGCAGAGCTCGGTGTTTGGAGTTGAGACTGCCCCTTGTGGTCAGTGTCTTGTCCACACCCAAAGCAGCACACAAAGGCCTCCCTGTGTCTCTCCCCACGTCTGTCTTGACTTTCCTACTTCTTGGCGTTTGAATGAGTTCTGTTTTTCCTTCACTGTATTTTTAAGTTCTTGGGCTCAGTTGATCTCCCATCGTCGTCACAGTGGAATCTAAGTAATGCTGTTTACGACGCGTCATGGATGAGAACAAAAAGCATCATTCAGCAGCGAGTGCAGCTAGATACAGATGTAATTTTGAGCCTTCAAAAGAGTGCCCGGGTGAAGCCAAATCTCTCCATGGTTTTGGATGAACAAACTGTTTCCACCAAGTCTGTACTTCTCTCCACGACTCCCCTTCCAGGGAAAGGTATATGAAAGAAAGCACCGTACCCAGATTTCTGACTAAATTAAGTTTCTACCTTCCTCTTTCCTCCCAAGTTACTCCAAAGATAAAACTCACCACTCTTTCCACTGTGAGATGTGGCTCATAGGCCCGGATCCATTTCTCCCTAACCTTGGCCGTGTCCATGGGTCAGGACCCAGAAGAGTCATACACATTTCCACTGAGCCAAACTCTTCAGAAAGCAATTGCATCTTAATTGCAAGGAACTTAGTACAAGTGGATCACACCACACACAAAAAGCAAGCAAAACTGTAAACTGTATACAAGATATCAATCCTACTCAATCCACCACTTTATAGGAAAACTGAGTCATTTTAGGGCTGCAGTAAACATGCCATGAAGGCGGAGAGGTAAGCTGTTGAAGTTATAGAAAGTTTTAAAAATAATTGGTTCTGTTGGCTGATGATCAAACCACTTTTTATAGACTGTTTTTTCCCCTCTGGTCTCCCAAACTGGATCCCTGTTTCCTTTGTTTTCTTTTTTTTTGTTGTTTGTTTGTGCTTTGGTTTCCTTCTAGAGCTCTGGGTATTCCAACAGGGATCGGCAGTACCGTTTGGCCTTTCGGGAGCGTCTCAATTGTATGCATTGATTCGTGTGTTCTACGCATGGGAGATCTCCTGTTTGGGCAGGCTGTGCATCCCCTAAGCATTCCTGTTTTAGTATGAAAACAAAAGGCATGCATTTGGCCCAGCAGTTAGAACATCACTTGAGACACCCACATCCCATTGTAGAGGATCTGGGTTTGAATCCCAGCTTCCAACCCAGCTTCCTGCTCACGCGCACCCTGGAAAGTACTGGCAGATGGCCCTTGCTGCCCATGTGAGAGACTTAAATAGAGTTCTTTGTCTCTGTCTTCAACTTGGCCCCGCCCTGGCTGATTCAGGTATTTGAGAAATGAATCAGCAGATGGAAGATTTCTGCCTCTCTCTCTGCCATTCTGCCTTTCAATTAGCGTTTTTTAAATAAAAATTTAAACTAAATCTCACATCCAGGAAATGATCAGTCAGCAAATTATTTTCATTGTATTTGCTCAGTTGCCTTTGTGTATCAAAGCTCTCTACACGGCTACTGCATCCCCCAGGGCACAAGCAAAGTCTTCCTTACACCAAAACCTGAGTGAAGTAAACTGACTTTTTATCCTTTTTCTTTTTCTAAAGTACAAGATATGCTTCTCCAGGAAAATGTGCTATGTAATTTTGTCAAAACATTTTCATAGGTACCTTTTTTTTTTGATGAGGTTTATTTAGCTGATTAGGGTAGGAAAGGTTGAGGGTTAGGTGAAAAGTAGCTGAGACCATTGTTTTCACATTTTCTTTTTTCTTCTTGTGTCTGGGGAGGGGGGGAGATAAGGGAAGAAGCTGCACCCAACCTCTCAACCCCCTCAGCAGGCGGGGATGGGGAATGGCTACCTGATGTCATCCCAGGGTCTTGTAGTGTAACCTGGTCTGGTTTGG